CTTCGAATTAACAGAATATTACTTTGGTTCAATGACATTTTTTTCTCAGGATCCGAAATTAATAAATAAGTAGTTGGACACGTGGGACCAAAACGCAAGGGCGAGGTCACTTCGGGTCTGATCCTGAGGTCGAGTCTTTTATCAACGGTCCAATTTTTTTCTTTTGCATGACTGCACCTGACGTCAAATTTCATGAGGCCAATCGCTTTTTGAGATCCCGGGTCAAGTTGACCAGGTTGACCAAGTATGTTGTCGCAACGAGATTTGTATGCAGACAGGGTAGCCAGGCGTACCACTTTGCCTCGAGCCGAGATGTCAAATCGGATACGTTTTGGGTATTCGAGGAGATTTCACGTCTAACGAGACTTCTCGAAATGGGGAAAAATATTTTTCTCAAAGACACTTAGGGCGCGTTACGTCGATCGGATCTGATCTCATGGGGAATGGAAACCTGGACAGACGACTCATCAATTCGTCAATTAATTCATCCCGGCGCAGGCGAGAGTGAAAATCTTTTCACTTTCTCGCTGCACGTCGAGGAAGTGGCGGACCGTAATGAGAAAGCGCTAGAAAAATCCGAGCCGCTGGTTTCCTTTCATTTTTTTTTCTTTATTGCGAAAAACCACGTGTGGCCATTTGGCCCATCTCAACGGCGAAGTTTGGTAGAAGATCTGGGAGAAGAAATCTCTCTTATGAAATGGCTTATGCTGCATTTCCATCCCCACAGTTCAACCGAAGAAGTTCTACACAGATGAACGCGTAACTAACTGGCGGCCATTTTCCTCTCTTTCAATGCTAAGTGAGTTACGCGGACCTTAGTCAATTTTTCATTTAACGTGGTTTTCATTCCGTACCAAAGTTAAGATGACCATAAAACCTCATCTCCACTTTTTCTCATCAATTCTAACCGAAATTCTGTCTACCGTTATTCCCGGAGGCCGGGCGACAGGTTGCCTCGAGGATCTCGGTACGAGAAAAAAATGTGAAAAAATTGAATAAAATAGATTTAAAAAATGGAGAATAAATTCCCCGAGGTTCTGAGGATTCCAGAGTTAGGAGGCCACGGATTTGTGAAGGTTGGGGGTCTCGAGCAGGGCGTGTACAAAAATTCGCTCGGTCTAGGGCCGAGGCGACATCGAGGCCTCGGTACCGGAAAAGAGCAGAGAAATTTATAGCCCTAGGCTACACGTGTGGGCAGGATGGCAAGAGACACGCGTCCTTTACAATGGTCGAACAGATACCCCAGAGCTATTGTACGGGAAGAAGGCGAAACGGGAGTTGCGATCTCATTGGGGTTCACCGACCTGAAGAGCGAGACCTCGAAGAGATATTCCGGGAGGGGCCGGTCCAAAGATTTTTCATATTTTTTATCCATACTCTTACACCCTACCAAGCCCGATTTTTCCTTATTGCCCGACTAAAAAGCCGCAATAAAAATTCAAACACTCCGAAAAGACCTCACCCGATAGAGCGGCTGTAAAAATGTTTCAACTTGCAAAAATCTCCCTTGCGTAATTTATTTTCTTCTTTGGTCTAAAGATACGTGTAAAGCTGTATATAAATAGAATTACGATGAGGTTCAAAGGCCTCGAGATATCCGGAGAAAAACTCGGCTCGTCGCAAAAAATGTACTTGGCGCGAGACTCTGCCGAGCACCAGATCGGAAGCCTCGGAAGCTGATCATTATGAGGATCGCATAGATCGATAAGGAACTATTCCGGCTCTCTTGAGTAAATCCGGGTTCGATAACTAGTGAGTTGAAAGCGAATTAACGTACCGAGATTTCTACGTGCGCGATCGGTTACTTGTTCGCCGGTTTATGGAGGATTACGTATTGTAATCGGCGAACTGAGCGGAAGGAAACTCCTCTAAAGCTATTCGAAATTTCGAGAGATAGTGATTGATATTTCTCGTTACATAAATCCCCTTAATAAATTCGCGAAAACAATGCAAAACGGCTTTAGGGATTTAATGGCGCGATCGGTGCCGCTCGATAATCGGCGATCGATCCGCCACTAAATGGACCTTTGATAAAGGAAAGGAGAAAATCGAGGTATGTTTACCGGACCCCATAGTGAATCCGCGGGTGTTGAGTAACCTCCATTATTGATTGGATCTGAGTAGCTGCCCAGCCACCGTCGAGTCGGTCGATTTTTTTCCCCCAGTCGATTATTCTCCACGAACTTGACGAAAAATCGTTGGGCAATGCGTCACGCCCTAGTTTACGTTCTTGGGCAATTCCACGGAAAGATCAGCGATCGGTGATCGGCGATGTCCGCTCCCAACCGGCGTAAGAAATTCTCCGTTCGGAGTAATACCCGAGAAAACGAGATCCGAGACTCAACCGAGACGGTCGCTTAATCGGGAATAAGGGAACAATAAACAAAAAAACGGAGCGATCGAGGAAAACCTCGGTAATGGAAAAATTGCAGGAATGATTTAAAATTATATAAACATCCATCAGAAATAAAAGAAAAAAGGCAATGCTAGAATTTAGAGACCTAGCGCGTCCATTCTGCTTCATTAAAATGCCGAAATAAATTAGACTGTCCATTATTTTCTTTTTTTTCGTATTCCTCCCCAATCGTGTTCTCGATCTCGACCGACAGCCCGGAAACGTCGACCGATCGACTTTGATTCGAGGCTCTCGCATTCGGGAAGAAAGAACGCCCTTGCCCCGAGGAATTCCGGAGAACGTGCGCGCTCTGAGAATTAAAAAAAAAAAGGAAATAAAGTCGACCTCTTTGAAAACGGCTAAATGGATCGTTAATACTTTTTACCCCATATTTAGCATTGGGCGACGTTCAGCACTTCGTTTGAGAATCATCGTCGATTTTCTGGGAAGATCGGCGCGTCCTGGACACGCCTCGCCGTTTGTTCCGGGGAAGAGTAACTGCTCTTGTCCGAGGGACCGAAGAGAGCGGGCCGGCCCGCTGGTTAAAAAGAGGCGAAAAAGAACGAAGAAAAATCCGAGCACCAATCCCTTTCGACCTTGCTCGAGATCGGAAACGATTGGCGATGCGGCGATCCGGGGACTGCCACGACGCACGCACCTAAATCGAATCAGGAAGTCGTCGAAGGTGTGCTCGGCTTGGCCTTGCCCAGAAACCACGCCAAATAGATCAAATTGATCGCTCGATATCGGTTCTCTTTTTGCCCGGAAGCGCCGCCATAATTAATCCAGCCAGTCGCCGCCAATTTCGGGCTCTCTTTGTCCAAGACCGCGGGACGATCCGTCTTATGCAGATCGAGTCTCCGGGAGACTTCGACGCACTCACAGGAAGGATCACGCAAAAGGAGCCGTCCATGTTAGCTTCTTACTATTTTTATTTTACAAGAGTAAGCTCTTGAAAAATAGCCAGGTTTCATAAAAAACGGGACAAAGGAACCTGCCCAAGCCAATTACACGCGCCCTATTAAGGATATTCAAATTATTCCAACCCCTCACACACTTTTAGTACAAAAGGCCGTGTCAAAATTATCCATTCACCGTCTTAAAACTGGATTAGTCAACATTTATCACGAACCTCCAAATAAACATATAACACCCGTGTTTATGAAATACATAAACGTGACAAAATTACAAATGTTTCATTGAATAATGTGCAGATCGGTCGAGTCCACGGGAGACATGGACGCACGCACAGGAAGGATCGCGTGAAAGGAGCCGCCCATGTCTTTTCTATTTTAATTTTTCTTTTACGAGAGCAAAGTCGGGAAAAATGGACCACCAGGTCTCATGAAGAACGGTACAAAGGAACGTGCCCGAAACAATTGTGCGAGCGTAAGTGGGAAATTTATGGGGGGGGGGGGGGAGAGAAAAAATATCACAAAAAGGCGCCTCTCCGGCGCTGACGTAAGCAAGGTACGTTACTCGTTTTACGATCTACATACCCAATTTAGTGCCTTCCTTGTGCCGGGTAATAAACGCATGCCTGGTCGTCCAGGGGGAGAGGAAGGGGAGGGCAAAGCCCCCTAACCGCAGCCTGAGATCTCAGACTGTATTGCGGTCTGATCTTCTATTTACGGGGTCCAAAAAGTGACTTTTTCTTGCGACAAGCCGCATGCCTATGCTCCCATAACCAGGAAAGAAGCCGTAATGAGCTCCGACGCGTCGCTTAGTTTTTGTCAGGGTTTTCGGAAACATTCGATCGCCGGCAGCCAGGGTGGAGCAAGAGCGTCCAAGGATTACGTTCCCGGATACTTTCAGAGACCGATGAATCACACCTGAGAAGGAACTAGGGCCCCAAGTGGTCCAGTCACTAAGTAGAGGCATTTGAGGCCGCTGGCGCGAATTCTCGATCTATCTCGAGTCCCCAGGGTCGAGATCTAGTTGCAGGGCGTCCACGCTTCCTGGAGAGGAGATTAGGTATTCCGATCAGGAGCCGGCCGCTCTGTTTCAGGCAAGGACTCTCTTCCTTCCTGTTCCTGCCACGCGGAATTTCCGACGAGGCCGTGAAATCGCGAAATTGCGAAACCGCGGGCACATTTGGGCCCGAAAATCGCCGCAGGCCCCGTCTTCTCGGGAGCTCTCTCAAAATTTTACTCCCAGACTCACGCAACCGAGCAGGCACCTCTGTACCGCGTGTATTTTTAAGAGAATTGTGTGGGCCAAAAAGAGAAATGAAAGAAAAATTCCTGAGAACGCAAGCTTGGGATGGGACCTTCCACCTTTCTTTCATATGCACGCATTGATGTCTCTGGAAACTCCACCTGCACAAGGCATTTCGAGAATTCCATCCCCCTGGGAGAGGTTCTCGCCTGATCTGAAACGCTCCCTGGCATGGTCGGACATCCTGTCGAGGACATCCGACCCAACCCGGGCTGGTCCCAGTTTCGTCCTTGCTCCTGGTCCTGCGGGTCGCGAGCGGGGCTGGCGAGTGGGGGGCTGCGCACACCTCCGCGCCTATATATACCCCTGCGGGTGGCGGGAGTGGGGGGTCCGAGGGTATAAAAGGAGCGGCGCGGGGCCGGCGCAGCCAGTCGAAAGCCCACATGCGGCGACTCTAGTCGCAGGAGTGCGAGAGAGGCGAGCTGGTGGCGCGCGGTCCAGAGTCGACGTGATTCTGTGCGAGATTTTCCCCCTGAAGGGCACGCTCTCCCGGATCGCGAGATATTCGGACCCTCGGGAACCGGAGGGAGAGAGATACCGGGATAATTCGGTGCGAGGAGCGAATCGAGACCCGCTCGAGAGCGGCTCCTTCTCGTCGAGGATAGTCCGGAGACACAGAGCACCAAGTCCCTCGGACTGGCATCGATAGTTTAGTCCAATCTATACATATATACTCATATCTTTACGCGCACCCGCGCATATATAGGCAAAAGTTAGACTTAAATCCGAAAGGGGGAGGAAAAGGAAGGCGCAGGTCGAGGTTTCGACAGTCGAGTGTGCCCTCTTACGCAGCGCGCAAGCTCCGTGCCGAAGGCGAGCCCGCTGATTGGCTGGCCCGCCAGCGCTGGCCAGCGATGTCGGGAATCCGCATCAACGTCGAGCGAGCTTCCAACGACGGCCGCGAAGAGGCCGAACTGGACGTAAGTCGGGAGTGGGGGACGAAAAAGCGTAACCGCTTGCCTGTCGGGATTGGCAACTTTCTATTTCGACGGTGCTCACTCTTTTAAGCCCGGTCTACACGCGACTCCTTCGAGGACAGTTAACCAAACATAACCTCTTTTATAGAACGCATAACCGCTTTAAATGTATTCGCAAGATATGGAAATTCAACCTAGAAAGAACGATGATCGTGTGTAGACCAGGCGGAGTCTACCCGAAATATAGTTTGATTACCGATAATCGAAGATTTTGTGCAGAAAATACTTAATTTCTAGTCGATAGACCATCGATTGTTCCACACTATAGTCGAGCACAGCTGGAACCTCGGGGCATCCGTTTCGGATGCACCTGTCGTGTCGGGATAGATTATCAAATTCCGGCCAATCCGCGCTAGCTGGAGAAAAACGCTTCAGACAAAAGTTGCAGAGCACACGATGGTGGGTAACTTTTGTATGGGACGTTTTCCTCCAGCATGCGTCTTTAAGCCGATACCTTACGTCGAGGTTGAGCAACCCAAGACGAGGTTAGGGAGTCTGTCTCGGGTGGTGTTGTGTCAACGTCTGAGCCAAAAGGTTGCATTGTTCGGTTGTTTAACCGATGGTCGGGCGTTTGAGAATGCAGACACGGTGAGGTATGGGTTGTGACGTTAAAGAGAAAACGCATGCACGGGTACACTCGAGAGTCTGAGCCAACGATCAAGTCTCGCGATGGTCGGTGGAGGCAAGGTTCGGGGTTATATAATGCTTTCCATCTGGCTTCACCTGCGAAACGCGCAGGATGCGATTGTTGTTCCCTCGAAGAAGTCGTATTTAAGATAACACTCCTTTGTCGCTAAAAAATTCCAACGGCGTCCGTCGTCTGTTAAAAAAAAAAACGCTAATCAAAGCCTAAAATGGACCCTCTTAATTTCAGAACTTTTATGACCTAAAATCTTGAAAAAAAATTCTCTATTATCCTTATTTTAATTCTAAAGGATAAAGCTTGATAAATTGATTTTGCAGAAAACGTGCAACCTTAAGGGCGCTTATAGAGCTAGTGAAAGACTCAGTTTCTTTGTCTCGGGAGAGTGGTCGACCACCGAGGCATTTTCTAGCTAAACTAAACCTGACCTAATTAGCCCGTATTCGTAACGTTCACGTCTCAATGGGCGAAAGTTGTGCAACAAAGTTGCAATACGTGTAATACGTGCACCCAGGTACACAACTCTGAATGGCGCCATTTCCACGTCCGAAAGCTGTCGGCGGGGAATGGCCCGAAAAGGGAGATAACACCGTAAACCACGAAACAAGTGCGTTTATACATAAATTGAGGTGCAATAATAACGGCGCCGAAATTAAACATAATCGAGGTAACGCGTAAATATTACCCCAAGAGATACATATGTATATACTCGGGATACAATTTCAGTCCTTTAGAGGACAACCGCGATACGACAGGACGATTACGAGAAATGATAATTGCCATTTTATAACAACGTTGCACACACCGAGCCCACTTCCAGTCCTTTCGGGGACGACGGGAGCCTGCAGCCGGATTTTATTGTAAAACCTAAGTATCGCGATTTCGTAATCGGTTCAAATGCACGCCACTTCGGTACCTTTCGGCCGGCAATAGAAATTTATTATCACGGCCGTAAAACGTAACGATCGCGGTTTTCAGACCAAGCACATGAAAAATCGTGTCAGTCTTGACTATTGTGACTTACGACCGAGACAGTAATTGCGGATAGTAAAACCGATCAAGAGAGAAACACTGATTGATTAGGGTTAAGGCAGTACGGAATCTCGCCCATGCACGTCTCCTGATCATTCGATCGACCTAAAATATACTTCCGGCTGGCCGTAAATTCTGATCGCGAATCGATACGTTAATCTTGCGGGATTTAAATTCACCAGTTCCCGGAATTTTATTGCAATTCATGATCTCGGTAAAAGTATTCCTCTACCGTCGATTTCGACCCGGAATTGACTCTCTAGACCCATCAGCGGCATTTTTTAACGCAGCCAGATCCAGGGAAATTATCGACCCGCGATTTTCCCTCAATTCTGGGAAAACTACAGGGAATTAAGCCATTGTTCCGGCAGGAAGTATCGAGGATGTCTTTTCTTCCTATAATCCAGGAAAATTGCTACTGGCTGCAGAGTTAGGCCATAACGTTTTAGCGACTTCATTCGAGATGGGAATCTGTGGCTCGACCGCGCTTTCGTTCAGTTTCTTTCACGGAGGTTTCTAAACGAGGTGATCCTGAATGAGCTCGACTCGAGGAGGCTCGGTGAATGGTACTGCTTTTCCCGCAAAGGTGCTTTCCCCGCTCGAGTGCTCGACTTTCGGTGTCGATTGAGATGTATATAAACGATACCGGGAAGCCTGTTTCAGGGCCTGCCAATTATCACGGTTTCCCGTGTTTCTTCTCTCCCTTACGGGAAATGCGCGGGTGCGAGGAATTTCTTTTCTTCATTTGATAACGACGCCAACCGCCGTGGTTATCTGCCATTGCACTGATATTTCCGCATCTCGCTTTTTTATCTCTCGAAAAAATTTCCCAGTTGAATGAGGAGCTTTGTGGTACCTCACGATACTTTGTGAAACTTCGAGTCCTTAAGTAAAATTCGAAAATAAAAGGTCGGGTGAAAAATAAAATAAACTCACGCATGATCCACTTAACCGGTGTCACGTCGGCCGAGTCGCAACGGGTTCCCCGCAATTTCCAAATCCGCGGACACGCGAAATGACAAAAACCCACACACGGCCACCCCCGGATCGCGTGTTAACGATTACCGAATTTCTCGGCCTCGACTTCGCACGTTCCGACGCGACATATATCTCGCGAGACCTGGGAATAAATATGGCGGCGCCAAATTCCCTCCATTTCATTCCCACGTCCAGCGATTATACGCCCGATTACCCGGGTCTCTCTAAATTCGGAATGTCTATTTATATCCTCTCCGAATATACATAATATTTATTAATCCCGTCGTTTTTTTTTTTTTTTTTATTATCGCGCCTCGCCGATAGACGTTGCGCGACACGCGGAAGGAGTCTCCCTGAATAATTCAAGATGGCGGATATGATAATTAGCCAGCGGCGTCTCAGGAGATCTTTGAGATATTTCCATCGGACTCGAGTAAAATGACTCCGAGGAGACGTTACGGAGGCATTATATCAACCGTTTTGGTTTCGAAGGTTGTCGACCTTCCGACGTCAAGTCTTATATAGGATGGATAAGAATTAGGGGAAAACGAGATGAAGATCTCGAGTACCCTTTAACACCTCCCGGCGCGAATAATTGGAGGCGAGAATAATGCGAGGCGGGAATCCGAGGCGGAAACAATTCCAGCCGAGAATCCGATTTCGCTCGATTCATACCGCATTCCCAGACTTTCCGATGCAGAATCTGCACTTGGATGCACCGCGAGTCGAGCTAACTCCGGGCTCCAATTACGGCGCGTTCCGCAACGACGGGAGCCATTATGTCCCCCGTGTCTCTTCCACGGAAGACTTTCCCAGCCAGGTTCCTCCGTCCGGAACGGAATAATGGGATCTCTCGGAAGATCCGCGGAGAGAGATCATCCGATCCCGGCGTCGATGTCTCCCGCCGCCGCCAAGATGACGGTTCCCACGAGCAGCGTTAACCTTACGGTGGAAAGGCGACAAATCATCGACTTACAAAGGGATTTCACTTTCCGCGGGTCTTCAAGAGTGACGCTCCCCCGTCCATCGTAAATCTCGTCCTGATAATGAGAAAAACCCGATGATCGATTGACTTTTCTTCCGTGGAAATGCATTTCTTCATCCGGACGCCCGCCTAAAGGCGGCCAACCGGGGAAACCTCGGAGATTTCAATGCTGCCTCGATAATGGCGAACCGTCTCTTTGCCACTTCGTTACCCAACGCCTCGCCAAGCAAAATGTTTGCCCTCGGTACGAACGCGGTAATTGACGCTTCGTTTACGAGCATTCCTCCTCCCCCCTCATCCTCGGTACGCGGGGCGAAAGAAACACCGTTAACCAGAGAAATTGACAAATCGACCATGACGAGTTATTAAGCTCATCGTTAGAATTAATTATCCCGTCTCGCGGAATTTCCGGCGTTTTCCCACATTTTCTTCCTTTTTTTTCCCCCCATTCTCTCGCGCTTTTTGCGCGCGACGTAATGTAGACGGTCGAAGACTCTGGAGAAGAAAATTGCAGGCGAGTTGCGAGTATAGGTAACTCGGTTTCCTGCGACTCCTTTTTTTTTTATGCCCTTTTCCACGCCTCTCCGTTGAGAACTCGTCTTCGACTTCGCTCGTGAAAGGACCTCTCGACGTAAAGGCCGAGGATCTCGCTCGTCCTCCCCCCTCCGTTCGTGATGAAACGAGGAAAACAAACAAAAAAAAAAAAAGGGAATTACAACGAGTTCCTGTCAAAGAGACGTTTACCTCGATTAAACACTCTTTCTCCGTTATCGTCTATTTCGAGACGGAGTTATCTGGCTCTTGCCTCATCCTCGGCTGCGAGTGTAACTACCTCTCCGATTGATGGCAAAATTAATTCTAAATAACGACTGCTTGTTTAATCGAAGGGTTCATCAAGTAATGATGGCTTTCCGCGAGTAACTTCATAAATTTGCGCGCCTTGCCTGTGCCGGCATCGAAGTCTCCGAATTTCTCTGACACGACCGACGTGGCTTTTTTCTCGCGTCGGCCGTCAAGACGATGAATTAGCCAACACGATAATTTCGCACTCGGCGAATCACGGTGAAAACATCCTCCCCCCCTGTGCCGAACTTCCGGGCGATCGTTAACGGATTTCTTTCCCCGCAACGAGAGGAAAAGTAAAAAGAGAAAGAAAAGAAATTGCCCCAAAATACTGGTGGGGCTTTCACATCGCCTTAAAGAGAGGCCGCCTCTGCGTCCTTTTTTATGCTCCCTCCGAATGGATTTCTTTTTCGATTTCTCGCGAGGTGGCTCCGAGGCTGAAGACCTCCAACCTTGACTGCC